TGGTTTCCTCTCAATCCGGAGTTGCCATAAGAGTTCCCAGCATTTGTCTTACTTGCCTTGGAGTCGGCGAGCAATGAGAAGCAGGGGCATGTTCATAGTCAAGTTCACTGTCCTGCAGAGATCCCCCCTGGCAGGTGCCAACCGGCCCACGTTCAGTGTGCGAGCATTGCTACTACTACTGACAGTAACCTCCACCTCGCTCGTAGCACTCTTCGTCCATCAGGCTCAAAGCACTTTCCCACGGGAAGCCAGTTTCTCTATAAAACCCCATTGTACAGAGGGAGAAGTGGAGACACAGAGACAAGGAGTAGGGATTAGATCTTTGTATGCTGAAGATCCTTGGACCACCATAGTTTGTGGGGGTGGGGGTGTCGATTAGATACCCTCCTGTGGGTAACCCAACCTCTCTCCTATTACTCCCTTTAGTTCAACTTGCCGCATCCGTGGAGGGGTCCAGCGTGGCTTCTGTGGAGCAGCAGAAACAGCAGCAGAGTTACTTTGTGCGCCTGGGCTCCCTCTCTAACAAAGTGCGCCACCGAGCCTACCTGCACTCCTTGAACAAGTTGCAGCTGGTCAAGAAGAACACCCAGGATACTCTCTCCTACCTCCAGCGGGCAATAAATCTGGTTTGAAGACATTCCTTCCTCCTCCTCCCTAACGTGGCCACCCCTTCTCTCCCAGTGTTGAAGCACTCTGCTCTCAGGGCATCCAGGGGCTGCGTGCCCACCTTGGTTCCTCTCTGCCCTACAGCCTGGCTGGGCCGGGCCTGTGTGCTCCCCCTTCACGGGCTGCTACAAGCTAAGAGCTGGGACCCTGCCCAGCTCCCTGCTGATCCTGCTGTTCCTTGTGTCTCCTCCTCAGGTTGAATCTGTAAAGGAAGGTGCTGGCCAGAAGCTTCAAGAGGGCCAAGAGAAACTCTACGAGCTGTGGCTGGAGTGGACCCTGACCCAGCCAAAAGGGGCGCAGGTGAAACTGTCTTCTCAGTCAGAGGTACCGCTGGGGGGACATATTTAAAGCACTCTCCCCGCTGTCAGCGGAGGGCTACGCTGAACTCCTTTCTGTCTCATCAGGTAGAGCCTCGTGTTCTAGCCATGCTGCGTATGATCACTCTGCGGCTGCAGCCTGCCTACATGAACCTGATGAGCAGCATTCAAGGCCTCCCCAGTAGCATCCAGGAAACAATGCAGCAGGCCCTTAGCAACGTCCAGCAGCTCCAAGCTTCCTTTTCCAGCGCTTGCTCCTTCCAGGACCTCTCTGCAAGCATCTTGTCCCAGAACCAGGACCGAGTGGTGAAGCTCCGAGAGTCCCTGGATGCCTTGCTGGATTACGTGGCCAACGGTGTGCCCCTCAACTGGCTTGTGGGCCCCTTCAGCCCACTGTTCCAAGCCACAAAGGCATCACACGATGTTAGGATGACCGAGAGAGAGTCACTCACGCCAGAAGAGGGGACCCCTGAAGCCCCAGCAAAGCAGGTCACCGAGGCTCCCAAAACCCTGGAGAAGCAGGTCACCGAGACTCCCCAAACCCTGGAGACACAGGTGACCGAGGCTCCCAAAACTCTGGAGAAGCAGGTCACCGAGACTCCCAAAGCCCAAGAGAAGCAAGGCACCAAGGCTTCCAAAGCCCAAGAGACCAGTGAAGCTCCCAAAAGCTCAGAGAAGGGGGCTTCTGAGGCACCTGCGAAGGGGGTAGACAAGTCACCCGAGAAACAAAAGGAGGCCGCCAAAGTAACCAAAAAAGCACCTAAAGCGCAGAAAATGGAGGCAGTGGGTGAAGCAGTGGAGGAGGTGCGCGCTAGCGTGCCAAAAGAAGACCCCTGAGAGGTTCCAGCTACTGGAGCTCATTTCTGTGGGAGGGACACGTGTCTAACTTCGGTCACTTGTACAAGCGCCAGCCCCAAAGGGCAGGGGCCACTGCCATTCTCTGCGCCCGGCTCTCGCCGTATCCCAGCCTCCTGCAGCCCACCTGGCCGTGCGTCTTGCAGGAAGCTTGCTAACCAAGGTGGCTTGATTTCAGCGAGACGGTTGTGCCCGCCAGCCTCGTGGTTTCTGAAGCCTGTGGCGCTGGGAGGGGGAGGGGGGAGCTCTTGGTCTGGCTTCACCAGCTGTAGGTCTGCCCGGTGGCGTGCCTGGCTTCTCGCTCTTTGCTGAGACCACACGTCCAGGAGAGCAGCAGCGTGGCAAGAAGTCGGGCATCAGCACTAAAGGCATCCCGGCTGTGACAGCTTAGAGCAAGAGGGTGCTGGGTTTACGTTTTGATACCATTTGCTTCCACCGACCGTTACAGCTGCCCGTTTTACACCCGACAGCATGTCGCCTCCTTTCTGACCCTTTTGCTCCATTCCAGGCTGAGCTCCGGGCATGGTTTTGGCTGCCCCCTGCCCCCCACATTTCTGTTTCCACAATGACCAGCCCCTTCTGTTGCACTGAAGTTGGAAGCTGTGCTTTTTAAAGGATCAGTTTTCTGTGGGATTCGTACTCCCCATCACTTCAGTGCATTTAAATCCTATTCACAAAAGCTCACTCTGCCCCCGTTTAGTTCATCCCGCGTCCCCGGTGCTCGGCAGTTGCTGAGAAGAGGGCGCGGGCAGCTTTTATGGGCGTCACTACGATAGATCCGCTTGACCATCGTTATGAGGCCAGGCCTGTTGCAAAGGGGAGGGTTGGGGGGCGGGAGGCCGGTCTCCGGGCTGCGCGTGTACCCCACGCCGAGCGCCTGCTGCTGCTGTAGCTTGTTTCGGGGATCCAGAGACGAGCCACGTGGCCGGGCTAGGACCGAGCGTCTGGAAACTGGGCACCGTCAGCTTTGAAATAAATCTTGTTTCCCCATCCAGACGGCCTGCGCGTCTTGCTGGTGGGAGGCAGCCCTGTGGGGCCGAGCGAGGGCAGCCAGGTCTCCCCTTGGGGCCAAGGCGGCTTTGGGCGCTGGGGGGGGCCGCGCCACTGCCCCTCTCCGGCTGGCTCTTGCCCCTTGTCATCGCTGTGGGGCGGCTGGACGGGGCCTTACACCCCCTCAGCACCTGGGCAGGAAAGGCCGCGGGGCCACATGAAACGGGCAGCGAGACTCTGCCTTCTTCCCCAGCCCAGGATCGGCTCCCGGCCTCCGCCTGCCCGGTGCTCGGGCCCGTGCCGAGGAAGCCCAGCCCTGTGGGTCTTTGGACACGGGCCGAAGCC